AGGCAACTCTGCTGAGAGAGAATGTCCGTTGTGGAAAAGATGTCTGTGTATGAGAGGGAGAGCAGGGAAAGGGGGAGGAGTGCACGCATGCACTGCAGCACACTCGTGCGTAAATGTGCCCATCTCCGCCTTGGAACCTGCATCCCTCACTCCTCACCACTGGCACCGGCTCCTCTCCCCCTCTGCTAACCCGGGATCACCTGTGGGGTGATCCGCTCTTGGACCGTGGAGTCCCGGGTGTCTCGGCTCGGCGCGCTCCTCCAGGGGCTGGGGGCAGCGCCGGGGAACTCCTCCAGGTTCCTGCCGGGCTTCGTGTCCACAGCCGGGGAGAACCATGGCTCCGAGCGGCGGGAGAGACGCGGCTCGACCCGCTCCAGGATGCCCGTGATGCGGGGTCTGATTGCACCTCAGAACACCTTCCTGGATACCATTGCCACACGATTTGATGGGACCCGTGAGTAAATGTCTCCCCTTGAAATGATCCCGATTAAATGATCCGGTATTATGTGATGCATTATTGTCAATTCAAGCTTCTGTAATTGCTATTAGTTGTTTGCTTGGAAGACAATAATTCAACTCTGCACTATGCCCCCCCTCACCACCTGCAAAGTGCAGACATAAGCTTGCAGATATGGCTTGGGTAATGAATGAAAAATTAATGTAAACTTAGACTAACATGTTTACAAAGTCATGGAGCAGCTGTGCACCCGCAGTAAGAATAAAAACTTGTCAGAGTGTTATTAAAAATAATTAAAGAAGCTTTTGTAAGTTTATGGAAATATTGTTGGACAAAACACACAGTCCCCCTGGTCTTATTCCCAAATAATGATCTAAAATGTGCCCTGAAAAGTCCATTAAAAGTCTATGTTTAAGTGATTGGACTGATAAAATGTAAGGAAATGTAAGGTGCAAAACTAAAAGAATTCAGAAAAAACAAGGCAGAAGTTAACAAAACAATACAAAATGACAACATTTTACATGAAGGTGCCTTGGACAGAGATAGCGTGATCTATTGAGAGATTGGCCAAAGTACATCACTAAAATGATCAAATTCTGATGAAAATGTGTGACAGGATCTATGAGGACAACATCTAGCTTCCTTTTCTTGTATATTTTTTATGAATGCAAGGGCTCATTTCTATGACTGTCCATCATTAAAAAACGTAGCCCCTCAGCGAATGACTGGCTTTACTGGAGACTCAGTTTCTCATTGACTGATTTGTCATGGCAGGATTAACATGTTATGGAGTGAAACTGGCTATCAGGCAGCCATTATTATCCTGCTCCCCAACTCTCACTGCACACAGTGAGGTGGTACAGTGAAGTAAAAACAATAAAAACAATTTAAAAAATAATCTGAACCTTTAAGAAAACAATGCTTAAGGATGCTTAAGGGAATTTGGAAATTTGATTTCATGGTTTGGTGTTGCCCCAAAAAATCTGCTAAACTGGCTCAAAAAATAGTAAAAATACCTCTACTGATCATCTTTTCTTCTGCCTCACGGTGATAGTATTGACTTTGGGTATATCTACACAGTATAAATCCAGCAACATTACACTTCAAGTTCTTATATCAGCTCCTGAATTACTTTAAAAGACTTCTGATCAGAATTCTGATCATTATCATGATCATCACATTGATTTACGCTGATGAAAGTCCTGCCTCTACATAAAAATATATATATATCCCAGCCCAGCCTTTTTCATTCACACTGCACATCACACGTTCAGACTGCATTAAACCTACAATCTGCAAACCTGCAGAGAATCTGTCAATCATTACACAAACTGCTATTATTGTAGCTTAAGAGTCTTACATAATGTGTCACGATCTGATTTGGAACCCAAAAACACCCAAAGACAGAACGTC